AGCAGCGACCACCAAGCTTGGGAGGGACACTCATGTTGGTCCCAGGGTCACTGAGGCTTCTGGGATCATCTAGTGATGGGGAAAGAACTCGGGTCTGCATCTGCACTTTATTAGCATGTGACCTTGGGCAATGATGTCACCTCCTGGGTATTAGTCCCTTCTCTGTGGATAGGTCTGTCCAGTTGATCTGTAACCTCCAACCAGCCTCCATGTTCTCTGACAATGATTCTTCTGCCAGCTGCTGCCTTAGCTCCATTTGACTCACCTTTAGGGTAAGGGTGGAACTGTTGCTTCACCCCTGACTTCAGCAAGGCCACAGTGAGCCACCAGGTCTGCTGCTGGAGGCAGGAAGGGAGCAGGCCCAGGCCCAGTCTCCTAGTTCTTGGAGGAGCAGGAGTAGGAGATGGCTGGATCCCAGGCCCTCTGCTGGCCTTGGGGTTTGAGGCCACAGCTATGGTGCAGGCCTCTGTTCTGGGCCTGAGAAGCTATATGGGCTCCTGCTTTTCCTACGAGGCCTGTGTGGAGGGAGGGGAATGTCCAGGGGTGTGAGGGTTGGGCCATCTGGGAGAGTCGGTTTATAGGGTGATGGTGGGGCTTTGGGACCTCAGGCAGGAGTCCCGGGGTGCATTTCCTCACCCCAGCCTTGAGCACAGTGGGTACTTCACAGTTGCTTGCAGTCACCCCCACTGAGTGCCCAAACTCCCCTCTGGGCAGCCAGAGGTCTCTTCTGAGTGAGAAGGGCCCCCTCCCACCCTCATCCCTGGTGGATACAGGAGTGAGATGATGGATCCAGGTTTGACCGTGGCTGTATTTTCCCTCCCTGTGGGTGTTGCTCCAAAAGTCACTGAGTTATCCAGAAAGGTCCTTGGGGACTTTAGACCTGGGGAATACTGGATGTGAAGCTGGAAATTGTTTGGGTTTTTTTTGGAGGGGGCCAGTAATTAGGTTTATTTACTTATTTTTAATGGCAGTACTGGGGATTGATCCCAGGACCTAATGCATGCTAAGCATGTGCTCTACCACTGGCCTATGCCCTCCCCCTTAGGTGGAAAATTTTCTTTCATCCTTCACCCCTCTTCAGGCCTCATTCTCTTGAAAATACCAGAACGAATAGTGGTATAATGAATACTCATGTAGCCACAAACCAGTTTCAGAAATAAAATTACAAATCCATTTGAAGGCCTCCGTGAGCATCTCCCAGACACACCTCCCTTCCCCTGCACCCTCTCTTCCCCAAGAAGTAACTACTATCTGGTATTTGGCATTCCTCAATCTCACAAATTTCTTTAACCTTTTACTACAGATGCACATTTTCTTAGAGTATTCCCAGCGTTGTTTTGCATGCTCTGAAACTCTGTATAAATAATGTCATTCTAATATGTGTTCTTGTGCAATTACTCTTTTGCCTCTCAGTATGTTTATGGGATTCCAGCAGGCGGACATGTGTGACTCTGGCTCACTTATTTTCTATGCTATGTAGAATTCACTATGTGACTACCTCATTTCTCCAAGGAGGCCTCCTCCCAGCCCCCTGAGGGGTGGCTGTGTTCACTGGGGCACTTCCTTGTGCAGAGAGCTCCAGTTCTGTGGATGCTCCCCACCTTCCATCTCCCCCACCCCACGTTAGGGTACCAGAGCCCCTCCCTCCCTCCCAGGGCCATTGCTTCACAGAGGAGGAATTTGAGTGGATTTCAGGCAGCCTTGTGTTTCCTGTAAATCAATGTTGAAAGTGAAGCCCCAGCCCAACGGGGCTGCAATTGCAACCAGCTGAGTGCAGCTGGGCGGGCTAATTTGAACATGGATGGAAGGAGTTGTGTGCTCCTCATGGACATAGTCTTTGCTGGGAATGTGCTGGCAAGTCCTTCTCTAGCACAAAGAGGAGACACTGGCACAGCCGATGGCCCCAGCCGAGCCCCTCTGTTGACCCTGGCTTGAGGCCCACCCTCCTCTCTGCCCTGACCACTCTTGCTTTGCCCAGTGGCCTCCTGGATGGGTTTGGCCACGTGGATGTGAGGTTAGATGTGGTTGTGCCAGCTTTGGGAGGGGGAGTAAGGTTCAGGGGCCTGCTGGGGACAGCCTGTCCTAAGGGGGTTACGTTTTAGACCTTTGAGAAGGAGAGAGGCAAGGATCTAGCCCCCATGTTAGTTCAGACGCTGGCCCTTGACAGCCATGGCACCCAGAGCCTCCAAAGTCACACACTGACTTCCATGAGCCTGCGTGCCTCTGCCTTTGTGGACCCTTTCCTCTATAAAAGTATATTAAAAATTATATTATATGGTTGCTTTGCTATAAAGACTATGGTAGGCAGAGTAATGGGCCCCAAAGATGTCTATGTTCTTCCCAGAACCTGTGAATATGTTACATTGCAGACACGATTTAAGTTAAGGACCTTGAGATGGGGGATTATTCTGATTATCCAGGTGGGCCCGGTATGATCACAGGGTTTTCATCAGTGGAAGAGGGGGCAGGAGACTCAGAGTCGAGTGATTCCGTATGAGGATCCAACCCACCATTGCTGACTTGGAAGATGGAGGAAGGGGACTTCGAATCAAGGGGTGGCAGGCAGCAGCTTCTGGAAACTGGAGGAAGCAATGGGACAGGTTCTCCCTGAGACCTCCCAGAGGAGCACATTCATGATAACACCTTGATTTTAGCCAAGTGAAATGCATTTTGGACTTCCGACCTCCAGACCTGGAAAAGAATAAATCTTTGTTGCTTTAAGTTGAGGCCTTTCCCCTGTTGCAGTCCAACTAGCAGATGTGGGCAGCTGTGGCCACCGTGTTCCAGAAGCCTAGAGATGTGTGGTAGCCTGGCCTCTCCACTCCTTCCCCCCTCTTCCTGGTCTGTTCCCTATGGGGGCAGGGTGATTGGGATGCTTTTATTTAGTCTTTGCTGAAAAGTGTGGTATCTCTTGGGGCTGAGGTTGTTTGAAGGTAAGCTGTGGAAAACGATCTGGCCACACTGCAAGTCGGGTTTTTGCGCCTTCCTGAGGCTGCTCAGGCTGGGGGAGCGGTGCATTTTTCCAGAGATTCAGTCCCTTCAGAGGTGGCTGGGCCACCCAGCCCACATCTGGGTAGTCAAGGTGATAGCGGGGTGTTTGTGTGTGCACGTCTCTCTGTTTACGTGTGTACTCCTGTCTCTGCGTATGTGTACACACATGCATGCTTGTGCGGGGGATGTGTCGACATACATGCCTGTGTCTGGGACCGTATGCATGTTTGTGCCTGTGCACATGTGTGTTCTTGCTCACATGCATGCGTGTGCTTGCTCCCATATGTTTGTGTGTTTGTGTTTGTGTGTTTATGCCTGAGCATGTGTGTTGACCTGCATGTTTGTGCCTGTGCACATGTGTGTTCACACCTCTGTGTTTGTGTTTTCACACATGTGTGCTCTCCAGATGTAGGGCAGGATGTGCATGAGGCATTAGGCGGCTGAGGGCAGCGTCTTAGGTCTTGACTCAGGTTTCCAAATGGCCCCAGATGTGACCCTTCACCCTCCCTTGTGGCGGTTGAGATCTCTGCCCCCCGAGACCAGAAAACTTTCCTTTGGAACCCAGTGGGCCTCACTGCCTGGGGAGGGCAAAAAAAAGCTAATAGCAAACAGGATCAATGTCATACTGTGGAGCCTGGAGCCAGCAAGACCTCAGTTAATTCCGAAGGAATGTGTGCGGGTTCCCACCCAGCAGAGCAGGCCATGGCCTGAGGGTGCAGAGCACCGGCTGTGGTGGCTGCCTTTGGAGAAGAGAGCTTGGTTGGCCAGGGACACATCACTGCAGGGACAGACAGTCACACATACTTGTGTGGCTGGAGTGGGTGAAGGGTGAGAGTGGCCTGCAGTGCTTGGTAGGGTAGCATATGGTACAGAGAGGACGATCCTTAGAGACCATGGTCATCGGGGAAGACTTCTTGGGTAGGGGTTTAACTGGGCTGTGAAAGGTGGGGAGGATTTGGAGGGAGAGAGGACATTCCAGGAGGAGGGGAAGCATTTACAAAAGATGCAGAGATGGAAAAGTGCAAGGCCTTAATGGAGTAAATTCCTGACACTTGTCCAGAGGGAGTTTGGGAAGAGAGAAGAGGGAGTCAGAGCAGGAAAGTTAGCTCCTGTCTACTGAGAGGGCTTTGGATGCCAGCCAGAGTTCATCCTTAGGCAGTGGGGAGCTATTGAAGATTCTTGAGCGGGGAGTGACCTGCTAAAAGTGGAGGTTTTAGGAAGAGAGACTGGCCGGCCAGATGATCAGGTCACATGGTGGGTGGGGATGGAGGCAGGGATGTTTGGGGTGAAGAAGCCTGGGGCTATGAGTGGAGTCAGAGGTGGCAGAACTGAATCCACTTCATGGTTTGTGACTCTTGAACACCCTTCACGTCTTGTTTCTGTGTTTGGATTCTCCTGTGTCGACCTGGGACAGCTCTTCCCCCACAGGCCGGCAGAGCCAAATGGGCCTGGGAGACAGAGGCCAAGCCCCAACCCAGCCCCAGGCCCCAGCCCCTCCTTCACCACCCTGCCCATTGTGACCGTGACCCCTACATAAGGCCTCTGGGTGTCTCATCCACCAATACCAGAAAGTGGCATCTGTCGCTGGTGGCAGGTGTCACCCCAGGGTGCAGAGGCAGGAGACCAGGGGAGCCCCTGGGCATGAACATGGCCAGTGGAGATGAGCATGTGAATGCCATTGTGGCCCAGGCTGGGGGTGGACATGAGCATGAGCTCTCTCCAGTCCTTGTGGAGGGTGTGGGACACTGCCCAGCCCAGATCTGTGTGTGTGTAACCTAGCATGAGTGTGCACACAGTCTAGCCTGGCATGTAGTGGGTGCCTATGTTTGTTGAGTGAATAAGTGTGAATGTAGGCACAGCACAGTTCCCGGAGGCAGAAAGAACTCCAGAAACAGCAGCTGAAGCTGTCCTCACCAGAGGCACACATCAGCTGGGGTAGGGCTGCCTGGCCTCCTCAGTGGGTGGACACTGGCTCTGCTGTCCCTACCCTCCACCCCCCACATCCACCCAGTGCAGACTTGATGGTGCATGGTTGGGCTGGGGCCATGACTCCACCCTTTCCCTCCCCACTGTTCCCCGGCCTCTGCGGGCTGAAACTACAGCCTCTTTCACCCATTCTGAGCCCAGTGCTTCCTGTAATTATGAGGTAAAGCAGTGAGAACATCCTGGAAGCTGGCCCTGGCCTGGAGGTGACAGCAGCTCCTTGGGAAGGTCCTGGAGTGACGGGGGGGCAGGAGTCCTCTCTCTTCTCTGGTCTAGCCGAGCCGACACAGGCTTCTCTTCTGGAGATGAAGATGATTTCAGTCTTCAAGAGGCAGAGTCACGAGCTGGTCGGAATTTTTCGAGCTGGGAAAAGTGAACCTCTCTGGCAGGCACGATCCCTGTGTGTGGGGGAGCCCGAGGCCCGCTGGCTGAATCACGCAGACCGGGAGCCGGGCTCCTGTGCTCCTGGGTGCCTGCCTACCTCATGGGCCAGACTGGGGGTGCTCCTAGGCCAGGGTCCCCTGGGCTGATGGCCTGCCCAGACCCTGGGCCCAAAGGGGGTCTCCAGAGCCAGGTGTTCTTTCCCAGAGGCATCCTGGTGGGCCCGAGGGAAATGGAGGTGACGCTGGCGTTTGACAGAAGCACTTAGTGTCTTATCAGGCCCAGCCCAGCCTGAGTTATTAATGCAGGCAGGCCCGAGCAGGCGCGGGGTTGCTGCAGGGAGGAGAGGAGGGTGGGAGGCGTTCTCTCCCTGCCCGCCCCCTTCCTCAGCCTCATTCCTGCCCCCCCCCACCTCTGCTCCTCTCCCTCCCCAGGTGCGCACGGAGGACAGAGCGCACGGCCCTCGGCCTGCCACTTGGCTCTTTCGGGTTCTAGCCGCACTGGGGGCTGATGGAGGAACCTGAGCTCCTTGCCTTCATGGGCGCCGCCGCACAGACTGCTCAGGACTCTGCAAAACTCATCATCTGGCCGGTTGCCGAGTCTCCTTAAATCCACTCTGAGTTGCGTGTTACTTCATCCTCCTGGCACTTTTGAGGGCTGCCTTCCTGTTTGCGGTCGTCTCATCCTGACGTCGGTCAGCGCCGTGCTGGGCTCCGCCATGTTGGAGCCGGGGGCGAAAGGGGAAATCAGTCATACCGAGCCTGTCTTGACTGGGAAAATTTGATATTTCATTCATCCATCATGGATATTTCGCAGTAGTTTGGTTTTTAAAAAGTATTGCATTGAAGTATGATTTGTCTTGCCTACTGAGTTCCTTTGGCTTCCCTAACATCTTGCACCTGAGGGGAATGCAAAGCGAAAAGGATTCCTTGGTCTGGGTCCAGGAATGTCCTGGGATTGGAAGGGGATTGGAATCCTTCCTTTCCAGGAGTCTCTGTGGGTGTCAGTGTGTGAGAGGAGGCAGGGGAAGGAGGGAGAAAAAAACTCCCAGGCTTTAGAGCTTCTGCTAATGTTTCCGTGGAGCTGAGGGGCCGGGCCGGAGGAGGGGGCCCAGCCCAGGGTTTCGGCGAGCAGGAGAGTGGGCCTTTGCAATGGAACTGGGAGGCCTTGAACGGTGGCAGATGACAGAACCTAAGGGGCCATTAAGCCCTCCATCACCCGGGCCCTCAGTGGGGTCTGCTCTACACACGTGCCTCGTGCGAGTGATTTTTTAGTGGGGGAGTAAAGAGAAGGGCGGATCTTGGGGTTTGAGCCTGTCCATGTGGAAGTGAGGCTGAGAATGTGGGGCATGGATGCCATCTGCCCACTGAACTGTTTAGCAGAAGCCAGTGCCAGGAGGCAAAGCTGTGGGGGGCAAGTATGATCGACGGGATTTGGGCCAGTTCCCCGGGAATCTCCAAGGGCAGGCACCTCGGCGTGTGCATCTATGACTTGTCAGTTTGAGGATTGCCAGGCCCCTGGCTTGCTGCCCACATTGAGACCTTTGAACGTTTTCTTCCTCATTAACTCCTTCTTCAGAGGGTCGATGGGAATGAGAGGGGAAGCCACGGGCTGTGGTGAGGGGCCAGGGCAGCTGGTCTGGGGCCTTGGACAGGCATGTGTGCTCTGGTGCAGCCATTCCTGCCACCTTGGGATCAGGGTGTGCTGGGCCCAGCCTGCATTCTCAGCTCATAAGCCTGCTCAGGCTGTGCACGCGCGCGCACACACACACACACGCCTAGGGCCAGGGTGGTTGTGTGTGAAGAACACCAAGGCTGCCTGACCTCTGCAGTCAACTGCCCTCATCTTGGGCCATCACTCCCTCCTTCTTCTTGGGAGGGAGTGGAGCCTCCCTTGGACAGGGTCTGGGAAATTAGGAACCACATAGCTCCCAGCACACCAGCTAAATGGAGGTCACTTCTGCTGATCCTGTAAGGGCTGAAGGTGGATTAACAGTGGAGAATTGTGGGGGCCTGACTCCCATTCTCTCTGGCTGAGGTCTTTGTCTATATTCACCTAAGAAAGCAACCGTACCCTTGACCCTGAGGTCTTCCCACTCTTGCTCCAAGTGGGAGCTCCTTCCTGGCTCTGCAGAGGTGGAGGGAGGACCCCCTCTCTCCCTCTACCCTGTAACCACCCTGCTTGTTGGGATTCAGCCACAAGGTTTACCTCCTGAAGGATGCAAGTTTAGGCACATGCTCCATCTCTGATCCACAAATTTCCCATCATTTGTTTATTCTGGTGTTTCCCTGGTTATAAAACTCATTTACACTAATTGTAGGAAAAATGGAAAACTGGAAAAGCATAAGGTAGAAAAATCTCAGTAGCTTAAACCTGGCACTTGGAGATCAACACTGATGCCCACCACGTGTAAGTTCCTGCCGGTTATGCGCACCTTTTACTTGTCACAGCTCTTTCCTGTCCTCATCATGTTCGGTCTTCTTGCACAGCCTTATGAGGGCCCTCAGCAGTCCCTGCTTTCACCTTTTCATAGCTGGGAAGCTGAAGCAGAAAGGTGAGATTTGTCCTGATAGGTACCCTGCCTTGTCCCACACAGGCCTCCTGAGCATGCTGTCCCACCGGCCCCTCAGATTCTCTCACAAGCCTGAGCTGGGGGCCGTGAGCCCCTCTGCATGGCAGGCACACTTTCCAGCCCCCCTGCCTGCTGTAGTCTTTCTTGTGTGGCTGGTTTTGAGCTTCACCCACCTCCCTGGGGGACCGCGCATCAAGCCTAAAGGTTCAGGCGGGAGGGTGCGGGGTTGGGCGGTGGCAAAGGGAAGGGGCAGATTTCAATGGCGTGCCTCCTGGAAACCACATCAAATGTGCAGCTAGGAATTAATAAATAAATTTGGGAGACAAGTCAATTACCCTCCCTCTGTGCCCCTGTCCCTGGGGGCAAACAGCGGCATGTGGTTCCCAGTCTGAGCACGCCTTCCCGGGGGCAGGCCCAGCCAGCGCTGCAGCTGGCTTCTGTCAGATTAGCTGGGCGAGACGTGACAGGCCTCTGTCCTCTGGGGAAATGGCTCCCTTCCTGGGAGGCGGTCAGGACATTCCCAGATTACTCTGTTCCTGCCCTCTCCCTGTGCCCCTCCCTGTCTCACTACCTCATAGGTGTCCAAATCACCCACCCCTGCACCTTCATCCCAGACACAGTTAGTCGTAGGCCCCAAGTGCCACCATGAGAGCTGTCACATGAAATTGTGATGCCTTTAAAAGGTGCCCCTGAAATGCATTTACTGAGGGAGGGCTATCTTGTTAGTCTCTTCCAGACACATTAGCATCATGGTTATTATTTTTTAAAAAAATCAGACTAACTACTTGTTGCCTTAGAAAACATTTATTTACTCAGCAAATATTTAAATGCTGCTTTGTGCTGCATTGTGGAGATACAGAGAAAAGAGACACACCTTCACCCTCTAGGACCTGACAGTCCTGTGGGGAAGTCAGACATTGCAGACAATAACTGTACAGGAAACTTTGGGAGGAAAAGTGGGGGGCACCTGGCCCAGGGGGCTTCCCAAGTAGGTGATGCCCAGGTTGCATCCTGAGGGATGAGTTGTCATTGTGGCGAGGGGATGGGGAATGCTGTTCCAGATGGTGGAACAGCATTGCAAAGTCTCAGAGGCAGGGGAGGGCCTTGGGCTGGATCACAGGGTGTGAGCAGGGCAGAGGTAAGAGGAGAGGCCCGAGTCCAGCAGAGGCTAGCTTGTGTGAGGTCTTGAGTTATATTTATCTGTTAACAGGGTTTCATGGCAGGGAAGTAGGGGGATATAAACTTCTCTTCTTAAGTCTTTTTGAAGTGATTGGATTATAGGTTCTTATCAACTTTCTGTGTATGTTGGGTGAGTAGGGTCTTGTTTTTTTCTACTTAGACAACACAACAACACAACTCCATAGAACCCAGTAGACCACAGACAAAAAGCAGTGGTCTTCAAAATATAAGAGCAGCATGATGGAAAAATGAGTCCCCTCTCTGACATTTGCTGCCACTGAATTTTCTGTGGCTGCATTATATAGGCATGTTCTTTAGATCAGCGATTCTCAAATTTTAGTATGTATGTGGTGTTTGGGATCAGTCCTGGAGATTCCGACTCAGTGGGGCCCAGCAATATGCATTTTTAGGGGTTTCCGTGGTAAATCAGATACAACATATTTCAAAAACTTATTCCTAGAGCTTGAATTAACAATTTCGTTTTAGGGAATTTGCTTGCAATTCATGAGACTGCCACCAGATGGCAGTGGTGCTTTGTGACGGCTAAGCAGAGAGCTTTTTTTTTTTTACTTCTGGGAATGGTTGCTGGAGGCACTTCTTTATTGCAAGACTATATAGAAAATAATTATTTTATGTAATTTCTAAAACTATTGGTAATGAAATATGAAATTTCAGAGCTTAATTTTAAATTTACCTTTCAATATTAGAGCTGAAGTTTCCAATACGGTGGCCACTAAGATGTGGTTAGTCTGAACTGAGATGTGCTGAAAGTGTAATAAACACACTGAATTTCAAAGACTAAAAAAAAAAAAAAAAAGAAAGGGAATGTAAAATATCTAGTTAATGATTTTTTATCATTATTTCACATTGAAATTATAATATTTTGGGTTAAATAAAATCTTATTATTAAAATTAATTTTGTCATTTCCTTTTACTTTTTAAAAATGCTACAAAGTGTAAAATTGCATTTGTGGGGCATGCTCTATTTCTGTTGGACAGCAGTGCGTTAGAAATCACCCAATTTAATTTCTTAATTTTGCAAAGGGGGAATTAAGGCTTAAAGTTTGATGGAAAAGTGCCAGACTTGTAGTCAAAAGACCTCCACTTAAGTTCTAGACTAAACACTCACTGCGTGCCCTTGGGCAAGTCGTGTGCCTCCACTTAGCCTCCATTTCATCATCTGTGAAAAGAGGCACAGTAACAACAGCCCTACTCACTTTAAAAAGAGTTATTTAAAAGTCCTATGCGATAACGTGGCTGAAGGAGCTTGTGTAAACTCTAAAGCATCAGAAAAAGATCAAGCTACTATTGTTGTGGTTACTGATAACCACTGAAACCCAGATCCTATAGTCTCACAGTTCCTGAAGGCACTCCTGGCACACCCGCAGGTCACTGGATTGGCTACTTCCAGACTCTTAGGAGTTTACAGCTGAGTGAAGGAGTTGCTACATACTCTTCGGAAACATAAAACGACAATAGAATAGTGATTCAAGTAAGTAATGGGAAGCGCCACAAGGCACATATAGTTAATAGCAAGTCATTTTCTTCTCAAAAATTTGTATTTCTTGAGTGGGGATGGTAGGATCGGAAGGTTGTAGTTGGGGAAGAGGCAGTACCAAACATGAATAACATTTTGTCTCTGTTTGCAAAGAAGTTTATCATCTGAGGGGGCAGAAAGGGGACACCAATGATATACCAGCCTCAGGACCTCTAAAGGGAACACTGGTATTAGGAATGTGTGGCTGGGGTTGCTAATTCCTCACCAGCTCTCCCTTCTTCTCTTCTTCCTTTCTGTGTAGGATCTGGACTACTTGGAGAGTTGGCAGTTGGCCCAGCTAAGACACTACGGTTTTCAGCCTCATTTGAAGCTAGGGGTGGCCACATAATGCAGTGCTGGACAATGAGATAGAAGCAGAAGTTGGATCAGGCTTCCACAAAAGCTCTTTAATAGTGGGGGACATTCAGCCAGTGTGCACATAAGAGCCGTTGATCCTCCCTCTGCCTGGAGGACGGGTGTGATGGTAGTGACTTCAGCAACCATTTTGTGATCATGCATGTAAAAGTCACACCCTATGTAGCAGAAGAGAAAGCTGCAATGAGCCTGGGACTTGGACAATATCATGGGGATGCTAGACTGCCTTGAATTTCCAACCTTTGCTCTTATTATGTGAGAGAAAAATGATCCCTATTTTGTTTAAGCCACTGTTATTTGGGTTTTCTGTTCTATGCAGCCAACCCAAGTCCTGAATGACACCAAGCATATTAATGTATATGTCAAGTCTCTTAAGTTCTGTGTGTCTGTGGCAAAGAGACTCTAGGGGATTTTCTTGGGGTCTGAGGTCAGAAAGTCATATGAGATGGGAAGGACCACTCTTAAGCACCAACCCAGCAGGCTGGGTGGTGGTGAAGTGTCTTTCCCCGCTCAGAAGAACGTGGACTGTAGAAGTAATAGGTCTAAAAATTCTAAAGAATGAGAAAACAGGAATACCGCAAGGAGCAACACTTAAGAGAAGTGGGTGTTCGGGGGCTGACTGGTGCCAGCCCACCTTACTTCTTATCTCCTCTGCATATGGGTCTAGGTGGAACACTAATGGGCAAAATATATTGAGTTGGAACTATTTCTTTCTTTAAAAAATTGTGGTAAAAACACATAGTATAAAATCAACTGACCTTGGGGGAGGGTATAGCTCAGTGGTAGAGCACATGCTTAGCTTGCACGAGGTCCTGGGTTCAGTATTAAAACAGCAGTTTATTTCGCATTCATGTTACTTGGTGGCTGTGGTTGGCTAGGCTTTGCCCCACATGTCTTCTCAGACGGGGACCCTGACTGCAGGAGCACCCCCAGTGTGGGGCATGCCCTTCTCAGGGCAGGGAAAAGAGTAAGTGGGCTGGTGGAAGCTGGGGTTGGCTCTTAATGCGTCTGCTTGGACATGGCACATATCGTCTGCTCTCATGTGCCGCTGGCCAAGTCACGTCACATGGTGGCCATATCATTGGAGGGTGGGGCAGGATGTTCCTTACATAGAAGTCGCTGTGAGTCCCATAGCCACAAGCAGGGATGCACCCCCCTCTTTTAGGAAGGAGAGAGAGTTGAGGATAGGAATAGAGCCTGCCACAGGGCTAGGCTGCTGCTCCTCCAGTACAAGCTCACGTCAGCACTCCCCTCCTTGCCTAGAGTCCCAGACATCTTGGAGAGAGTGGAGGATTTACCTGCAGAAGCTGAAAGGACAGCTTGAGTCACTGACCCAGGCTCCGTCTGCAGGGCTGGACGAGCCGTGGGGCCAAGTGCTTGTGAATCAAACCCCGGGGAGAGAAGCTGGGTGTCTTCTGTTGATCTTGGTGTGAGTAACTCTGTCTTCCTGCTACAGCACTGAAGGTGCCGGACAGAGCTGCCCCCAGACCCGAGGCTTTGTGTCCCTTGGCGTCCCAGTCACTCCCCTCTCCCAGTGAGTGCAGACAGACATTCACAGATGTCTTTTGCTGCAGGACATGTTTTCCCCAAGTTGATAGGATCAACCTGTTCTTTACCTCAAACCTGTTTTTAAAAGGACTTTCCTGGGTTTTTTTTCTTTCCTTAATTACAGAATATTTTTATAACATACTTTGAACAGAGTAAACAGAACCTAGCAAAACAGTTATTAAAGAGCTATAAAATGGTTTCCTCACACTTGCCGTCTTTTATTTCTTCCTCTTTCAGTTGGGTGGGGCTGGGTGGGGTCTAGGTGGGCAAACCTGGGCGAATGAGCTGTGAATCAGTGAGGGGCCATCTGACAAGGTGCCCGCCTCCACCCTCCATCTGAAGGAATTGGGGCTCCCCTCCCCCAGCCCTTCAGGCACATTCTTGCTCAGCCACGTTTTAATTTACAGGCTGCAAAGCAGTCAGTTCTCAGGTCCTGGGGCCACGGGGCTGGGCTGATTTTACAACAGGTGCAGGTGGCCACGCTTGTGGACCTCAGGGGAGTGGGAGGGCCGCTTTCTCGTCACTTCATCTCACCCCCACTTTCAAGATGCCTAGCATCCCACCGTTAGAACCCTGGGCCTCTGGGCTGAGCGCTGATGTTGGGGAGGTCCCACATGAAGCCATGAAGACCTCCATATGACTAAGTCCCTTGTGACCACCAGAGCCAGGGCTGCAGGAACGCCCTGGGGACTTTGGGAAATGAGGAGAGGTTCCTGGAAGTGAGACGGGGGCACAGAAAAGGGTGAGGAGAGTGACCCAGCTGGGAGACCAACCCAGCCACTTGACTCTGGCTGGCTTGGGCCACCCTCCACAGTGACAGCAGAAAAGGGTGCAGCCCAGAATGGGTACAGGGGTGAGTCGGACTGGCTTGTGTCCCTGGGCAGAGGGAAGACACAAATGGGAGCACCTGGAGGTGGGGGCATGAGCTGGGTCTCCTTGCTCCTAGCTGGCCCCCTGTGGAAGGGCAGGTCTGAGGGGTCACACTCTGCCCTGACCCCATAGGATGACCTTGTTGGGGACTGAGTGGTCAAGGAGGAGGACTCTGGCCCCAGGAACACTTCCTGCCCTGGCGGAGGCCTGGGCACCTCTGTGTGGGGTATGTGGGTCGGGGTGGGGGTATGGAGGAGGAGAAGAGCTCTTTCCTATTCTCAGTTTGCCCCTTTTTTTGAACCCTGAGACTGCAGAACTGAAAAAAAGCTCCCCAAGCTTGGAGACACCATCCTGACCATCTCCTATGTGATGTATCATGTGATTTTATCAAGGTGGGCACTGGACACCCTCTGCTGTAGCTGTCCCCTGAGCGTAGGTGGCTGATAAACTCATTTACTCTGCAGAGCACATGACTGATAATGGTTAGAGGTGTGTGTCTTGCCAGGTGGATCTGCCCTTCAATGAGAGAAAAGACTCACTAGAAGCCGGATTGCCAATGGAGGGGAGGAGAGGGAGGTCATTTGATGTAGGAAGCCTTTCTGCTCACTCCCTTCATGAAGGTAATACTCATCAGCCCCCGTATCAGTGGAATATGCTAGAACTTGCAAAGCTGTTTCATGTAAGGTACCTTATTTGATCCTCCCACCAATTGATAGAGGTGGGCAAGAAATGGACTACTGTCACTACTTGCAAAATGAAGAAACTGGGGCCCAGAGGGATCGCAGATGTGTCCAAGGCCACACAGCTGGATGGTGGCAGAGCTGGGATGGGGAATTGATGGGGAATGCACTCTAAGCTAGGTCTTTTCTGGGATGCTGCCTTGCAGAGCCTGGGCACAGGGGTGTGGAAGGGGCACAGTCCAGAGGCAGACATGGAGGTGGTAGATGAGGCGGGAGATTTGGAATCAGAGGACCTGCCTTAGGATCTGGACGTCATCTCTTTCTCAGAAGTTAGTTACCACCTTGAAGCGTCAGTTTCCTCACTGGTAACATGGGGATAACATCCCCTTTCCACTCGCACCCACCAGGGTTATTGTGAGGCCCCAAGAAGAGATAAAGTGAGTGGAGCATAGTTGCACACTGCGGAAGGCCGCCCCCATGCTCGGTTCCAGGAAGGCTGGAAGGCTGGAAGGCTGGAAGGCTGGACCCTTTTGCGCTGTTCACACCCTTCCTTTGGGGGAGGCAGAAGGCTCAGAATTAGCCTTCACTTCTGTCCTCCCTGCTTCCCCCGGGATCGGGGCTGAGTGTTTTCTTCTTGGAAAAACAAAAAAATCAAAGCAGTGGCAGAAAAACCAACAGCTCATTTCTGCTTCCCCTCGGCTGCCCTTCTGCTGTCTGGGGCCAAGAGGAGAGGATGTTGCTGGAGGCCTGGGCTTGGCTGGGGCCTTTCAGAGTCCTCCCTGCCCTGCAGGGGCCACCAAGAGAGGCCTGGATGGCATTTGTCATCTGTTCAGAGGCCAATGCTGGCAGTGCTCTGAGGTGTGGGACCCCGATCTTCCTCGGGAGACAGGGCAGGAAGGAGAGGAGCCCAGCGCTCTCAGCCCAGGCCATCACCGCCTGAGAGCGCCGAGGAACCACCTGGGCTCGCCAGAGAAACGTGTCCGGTCCCCTTAACTGGAAGTCATCGTTCATTTCAGTTGACATCTTTCTGGCCATTTGCAAAATGGAGTTCAGAATCCTGTGAGTCTCTTTTTTACCCCCTGTGATGATCAGCAGATGAGTTTTCAGGGTGTGTTGATCTTTTTCTAGAAACAGGGAAAGACCAGTTTCAGAGGAGAAACAAAACCTACAGCCCACATGTTGCGGGCACAGCCGGGCGACCCCAGACGGGAGCGGCGCGGGTCCTGGCCCTCTGCCCTGAGGCGGTGGCTGCTGACGTGGCTTCCCATCCAGACCCGAGGTCTTCACCTGGGACGGTTAGCTGGGCCCACTGGTTCATCCATGTCTCCTAAGTCATGTCTTGGGGGGGGTGGGAGTGGGGGTCTTTACTCAGAACTTAGTTATGGCAGCAAAAGGGACTGGTTGAGAAAAGCCTAACCTCTAGCACAGATGAACGCTATATGGCCTTCTAAACAGTTAGGCACAGGCTCAGGGAGTATCAGGTATGTGTCTGACATTAATTACCAGTCTCTCCTCAACAAGGGATTGAGAAAGGAATGTTCTAGTCCGGGTTCCAGCCCAGGTTTCAGGCGGTATCCAGGTTCTGCCCATTCTTCTGGTCCTCTTGTTCCAAACCATTTGGAATCCCATGTGGTTCCATGCCAGCTGCTCCCTTTCTTCCTAGGGCGTGCCTAGGAACTCTTAGTTTCTCTGATTTCCCAAGGTCAGACTTAGAATACAGCATTCAACAGGTATGGTTTCATAGCTCTATTTTTTTTTTTTTTGATGTTTGTGATACCACAGGCTTGTCTGGAGACTGGAAATAGTGGCAGGGTGTGGGGAGGGTGGCTCTCAGCCAGTGTACATTCTGCTAAAAAGCTGGCTGTGCCAAGATCCTTCTTTCTGCTGCTACTGCGGTAGGTGCAGTTCTCCTAGCAGCCTTGGATTTTGATAGAATAGGAAAGGTACAACTTCTGAATATTTTATCCAAGGGTTTTCCTCTGTTTACAATAAAACCTTTTTCTAAACTAATTACCATGTAGCTATTCACTGCCAGGTGTCTGTACACATACCCACACGTGTTACTGCAGCATACTCCCCCAAAGGCCAGGCATGAGGCAGAATCAGAGGCTATAGGCTTCGCTCTTAATGTGTGTTATAAGGGTTACCAGGGAAAATCCAGGAAGGCTGATCACGTAGTTACCGGGCTTTGTTTGAGGGGCACAAATCATGGCCTTCATGGGGCTGAATTTATAGGGCTGTGATGAGACTTCATTCATTGGCTGTAGGGTTTAGGTGTCAAGGTCCTAATCTCATCATTGTGGTTGGTCTTAAATGGCTTAGGTGGCGTCTTCCCTTGTCTACCCTCCCCTTCTTCCATCCTCTTCTACACATCCCTGGAGTTATTGTCCTGATCTTCAGTGATCAGACCCAAGAGCCTCCTTGGGGAAGACCCAAGTTCTGCTGGCCACCATCCTAGGGCTTCAGGTAGGAGATAACTGTCTCTCAGGGCTTCCCTTGGCCTGTAGGAAGGAGAGACCTTTGGATCTGAGGTCACAGAAGCACCATTACGTACCCATCTCCCAGATTTCTTTTCACCCCTTCCAGGGAACTTGTATGCTGAAGAGCAAATAACCAAGGTAAAATCTTAAGAGCAGGCAGAGAGAAAAGACACAAAAGACTGACAGCTGAGGGGGAGGATATAGCTCAAGTGGTAGAGCACATTCTTAGCATGCATGAGGTCCTGGCTTCAACCCCCAGTACCTCCTCTAAAAATAAATAAATAAATAGACCTAATTACCCCCCCAAAAGACTGACAGCTGAATTCTCAGGTGAAACAATGGGAGCCAGAAGACAATGAAGTAATATCTTCAAAGCCCTGAAAGAGAGTAAGTACCAAGTGGAAGTCTATAGAAGCTCAGGTATCCTTCCAAAATAAAGAAGGAATAAATATACTTTCAGAAAAACAGCACTTGATAAACCTCACCACCAGCTGACCTGCACCAAAGGAAATACTAAAGGGTGTTCTGCAGGCAGAAGGAATATAAACTCAAATATAACCTGGGAGATGCAAGAAGGAATGAAAAACAGTAGAAACGATAAACATGGGTGTGAATTGTAAATGAATGCTGACGACAGCTACAGCCACAGTGATACCTTGTGGGGTTTTAAATGTATAGTGAATTAAAATATCTGAAATCACACGATAACAGCATGTTGGAGGATGGTGGGAGAGCTGCATTATCCAAGAAGTGGTAGGAGGACTTGTTCGTATTAGACTTTGATTAGCCAAAGACAGATGTTGCAACCACATCACATTAAAAAAATAGCAAAAACACTAAAGTGTATTATTCTCAAAAGAGTAAGTCAAGTGGCACTGTAACAACATTGAATCACTCCAGAAGGAGGCATGAGAGGTTCACAGGACAGGCAGGATGAGTACAAAGCAAATAAGATGATAGATGAAAACCCATTATAACAGTAATTAAACATAGAAGGATTAAACATTCCATTTAAAGTACATAATTGTCAGAGCAAATAACAAAACACAACTATATCCTGCTTACAAGAGACAGGTTTTAAATATAAGTGTACAGAAATATTGGCAGAAAAAATGATAAAATATACTGTACAAAGAAAGTTAAGAGTGGCTATGTTTATATCAAATGCAACAGAATTTAAGGCAAAAAACTATTAGTAGAGTTAGTGATACTTCACCGTAATACAAGGTTCAATTAACCAGGAAGCTAAAACAATTCTAAAGTTGTATGAGTCTAATAATATTACCTCAAAGTAAACAAAGCAAAAATGACAGAACTAAAAGAAATAGAAAATCCACAATCATGTATATGGGAGACTTTATATATCTCTTTCAGTGAGAGGTGTATAAACCAAGCAGAAAAAATACCCAGTAAGGATTCAGAAGATTTGAACAAGATGATTAATAAACGTGAATTACTGAACATAATTTCCAACAACTTTAAATACACATTTTTTTGCCATTGTAGATGGAACATTTACAAAAATTGATGCTACGTGGGGCCATAAAGCACATCTCAACAAGTTTCAAAGGATTGAAATGAATATATTCACTGACTACACAGGAATTAAGCTTAAAACCAGCAACAGAAATGATAATTAGAAAATCCTCAAATGTTTGGAAATTAATCAGTATTTTTCTAAACTGATAACTGATGTCAAAGAAGAAATCACAATAGAAATAAAAGAATCTTGAACTGAATGATGATAAAGACTACATTGCAAAACATGTAAGATGCAGTTAAAGCAAGACTTAGGAGATTTATAGCCTCAAATGCTTATGTTAGAAAAGAAAAGCTGAAAATCAGTGATTTAGATGTGCAGCTCAGGAAGTTAGAAAAATAAACTAAACTCAAAGCAAACTAAATCCAAATGATAGAAATAATGAAGATGTGAGCATAAATTAACGAAATTGGAAACAAATTTTAGAAAGAATCCACAGAGTTGGCCCTATGAAAAGGCCAGTAAAATTAAAAAGCCTCTGGTCAAATTAATCGGGGGTGCATGAGAAAGAGGGGGAGAGAGATAGGAACTAATTGATATCAACAATAAGAAAGGGGACTTTAATACAGATCCTACAGATTCTGTAATAAGAGACTTTGATGGACTTTGGCCATCAGCAGCTCCTGTCCTGATTGACTGGTTCTGGGTAAATCAGGGGATGGCCAACCAGCACTGGCTCCCTGAGCCTCTGCCCTCTGCCCCTTCCCTGACCTGCTTTTGGGGGCAGTGACCACTTGGCCACTCACTGCTCTCCTAGGACCCCAGGGCTCTCCCTGTGAGCAGGGGGAGGGAGCCTCAACTTCAGGAAGGGCAGGAAGCAAGCTTAAAAAAGCACATTCCTTGGCAGGTTGAAAAACATTTTTTTTTTTTTTTTGAGTGTAAAGACTTAACCTTTGCTAGGAAATGGCTGCGGTATTTTCTTTAAATGAAAAGAGACCATTGTGAATCGAACTTTGGAAAATACACAACATCCTGGTGCTGTTCTCCAGGGCGGTCTCAGGCAGCCCACGTCAAGCCGGCTCTGCCTTTCCTCCAGATGGTCTCTCCATGCACGGTTGAAGAGGCTGGATCGGGGGACTGGTCCCTGGCAAGGTCATGAGGATGCTGAACCCCTCCCCCGCAGGGGACCTTGGGCAGACGTGCCTTCTTGTTTCCTGCAGCGGCCTCCTTTCAGGACCAGCCCCATGCTTTCTGGGCCCAGTGCAAGACAAAAATGCCCTGGTTCCAGAGCTATTAAGAATTTCAAGATGGTGACAGCAGAGCATTAAACCAAGTATGGGGCACTTAAGGTCTCAGGCCCTCGTCAGTGAAGGGACCTGTGTGACCACATAGGTCACAGGCCTGGCCTCCACTGACTCTGGCATAGTATCATTCTCATTCTGCAGGCTAACCTGAGTTTTTGAAACTTCTTTCTTGAAGGGGAGGGTATAGCTCAAGCTCAGCATGCAAGAGGCCCTGGGTTCAATCCCCAGTGCCTCCATCAAAAAAATAAATAACTAAATAAAACCTAATTACCTCCAACCCCCTCAAAAAAAACTAAACCAATACAAAATGAACTTAAGAAAAGAAACTTCTCTGTTGGGTGATACCTCCAGGGCTAGACACAGACCCCACGTGACACAGGGCAGGACCTGGGGCCCCCTTTTGGGGTCCCCTCCCCACCCCTGGGTTCCCACATACCACAGCTGGCAACAATTTCCCAACCTGGCTTTTCCCTCAGATTTCATTCCCGTCACATTTCATAGACCATGCTCCTCGGTGGTGAAAACATTCTGGGTTTAATCTGTGCCGGCTTGTCACCCGGGGGTCTGGGGTAATCAGGGAACGCAGAACAGCTGCATTGAGCGCTGGGTTCCTTGACGCTCCTTGAGTTGTTTACAAGCCTCCTTAGAGGGCCTACTGTAAATAGGAAAGTACAAACACATGCCGACTTTGCAGCAAATTAAAACCATCCGCTGCTTTCCCTGAATCCTAACACACAGCGGTCTGTGTTTGTGCAGGAGTCACTGCCTTGCGTGCTACTCCCAGACTTGTGTAGCTCTCTGCTAAGCCAGCCCGAAGCATTTGTGCTCTTCAGGATCCACGAGACCTTCCATGTCCGAGATCCTCGTTCCCAGGGTCAGCTTGACCTCCCAAGCCCAGACCCTCTCCAGGGCTGTGCTGTCTAATACAGCGGCCACTGGCCACCTGTGGCTCTTGATCACTTGAGATGTAGTTAGACTGAGCCGAGATGTGTTGATTGTGGAGAAATCCACACTGGACTTGGAAGGCTTAGCACAAGAGTGTAAGATCGCTCATCCATAACTGCACATTGATTACATATTGAAATGACAATATTACTTATATAGTGGATAACAATTTATTAACGTTAATTTCATGGTTTTTTTCCTTTTTAATGTAGCAACTAGAAATTGGCTTATGTCATCTTTCTTTTTGGCAGCACTGCTCTAAAGCCCCTTGTGTGGTATTTCCATGTCCAAGCCTATGTAAATTTTACACACATACACACACACATGTGAGCAACTGACAGAGCCCTGGAAGGAAAACCAGGTGCAGTAAGCTTTTATGACTCAACGCCAAATGCCACCTTCTCTAGGAAAACTCAGAATGTCCCAGGGCCACCTAACACTACCAGCCCAGGGACCTTGGTTTGGCCGTTGGTGATGTCAGAGTGGGGACTCCAGAGTCTAGATGACCTGGGTTCTAGGCCTACCACGTATGAGCTGTGTGCCCTTGAATGAGTGACTTACCACTTCATGCCTTGGTTTTCTAATCTGTAAAATGGGAATTACAACACCCTAGTGCAGAATCAGGATGGTGGTCCAGGCGTCTGTCTGCCTCACAGGCTTGTTGTGAGGACATTAGGATGAGGCACAGAAAGCCCTTAGCTCAGAGGCCTTTGCAGTGCCATGAGCTACTGTGGACACCCGTGGGGCTGGATTTCACAGGCTCAGGAGCCTCTAAGGAAGGAATGGGGCAAGCCTAGGGGCACCAGGCAAGTGTGGGACCCGTGCTCCTGGGGAGGCTCCAGGGTGAGTGGAGAGACCTCGTCCTAGCCAGGACGCAGTGCCAGAGGATGCAGTCCAGAAAGGGCCCAGGCAGGATGCCAGTTTGGAGGGCCTGGGATTGGTGGGGCTGGAGGGAGGCCGGACTGATGATGGAACCCAGAAGATGAGTGAGGAATGGACAGTTCTGCTCTCAGTTGTTTGAACTCACAGCATTCCCCCCAGCTGGGGCCGAACCAATGGCCGAACCAAGACTGGAGGGGTGGGCTCAGATCATGTTCCAAGCCCTAACTGGGGTCTAGGTAGGCAGTTCTGGGATGTCGAGCTCATTTTTCTCTTGCCCCTTACCAAATTAGGGTAATATTTGTTGATAAAAGGAATAAATCCCAAAATGTCAGTGACTGAGCACCAGAGATTTTAATTCTCACTCATAACAGTGCAAGGTGGATGTTCCTGCAGGAACAGAAGGCCTGCAGGAGGCCTTCTATGTGGTGATTCATGGATCCAGGCTCCTTGCATCAATGGCTCCGCCCTCCCTTATGGCCTCAAAGTCCTCTGCACTTCTCTTTACCACCTTGACCTGGATGTAACAGCTCAGTGACAGAACTGGTCGTATGCCCCACCCCACGCAAGAGTGGCCGGGTAATGAATATATGTACGTATGTGCATGACTGGGACATTGTGCTGTACACCAGAAACGGACACATTGTCACTGACTATACTTCAATTTAAAAAAATAAAAGAGCGGCTGGGAAATAGCAACTCTGCATGGTAGAAGGAAGAGCACCCACTTCCAGTGGCTGTCTCAGAAATAGCGACTCTGCAGGGAGAGCTGACCCAGCACCCTGGCCTCCTTTCTCCCCACCAGGCCCCCAGCCCTTGCCTGAGACGTCTGCTGGTCACGGTGGCCAGGCCAGGTTTTGAGAGGGCTCTTGAAGAGGAACAGAGGGAACAAACGTGGACACTCGGTCCGGAATGACACAGGCGGATGCACTCCACGCACACACCATGTTCTTACACTTGAGCCAGCTTCCTCCTCCCTGGGAAACCACATGGGGGTTCTGGTCTTGAGAGAGATGGAGTGCTGTGAGCCAGGCCTGCAGTGTGGGTCTGAGAAGGATGTGGGCAGATGGATGCAGGACCAGATGTCTGTACTGATGCAGAGTGTCAGGCCCCTCAGAGAGAGGTAAATGGTGAAGGCCAGAATGGATCACATGAATGAGTTGGGCCTTTCCTTTGGGCAATCAGGGAAGGCTTCCTGGAGGCTAAGGCGTGACAGATAGGGAGAGAGGAAGCACTTTGGGATTCCCAACAGTGTTCCCACGTGTGTGGTACTTTGTCGTTTCCAAAACCAGCAAGGCAGGCAAGACAGGGAGGCAAGGACAATCACCTCCATTTGATCAGGGAAGAAAGAGAGGACCAGAGTGGCCGACCTTCTGGCCCAAGTTTGCACAGGAGTTTCTGAGTGAGAATGCAGTTGTTGGCCTAGCAGCTCTGGGCTCTTTGTATAAGCCTGATGAGCATGTTTCTCCCTCAAGGCTGGTCAGTGTTGGGTCCCCAGGTGTTGCTGGAAAACTCTCATCCAGGGGCCTGGCCCTCCCTGGGGGCTTCTCCAGGCTGGGTGCTCAGCCTCCCCTACAGAACATGTGTTTCCTGTTTTCCTTCGCCCTCTGGCTGAGGACGGAGAACAGGGTTTTCCTGAGCGGAAGAGCCTCAGAGACCTGGCCCACTCCCAGCTAGTTCTGGCCGATCCGCCTGCTCGTGGCTCTTGTTACTCAGGATGAGGGGCCCCTTCACCCCCTGTCCAAGGATCTTTAAGGCCATTATCTCCCCTCACTCTCCCCGAACTCCTGAGACCTGGAATTCGAACCCAGGGCATTGACTCCCACCTTGGTGTTCTTTGAAGACCCTTTGCTCATCAGCTAAACTCCTTGGCAAAACCTGGGGCTTTGTGCTGCCCTGGATCCTAGAAGCCAGGGCTGTGGGGCAGGTCTCCAGGCCCTGGGGCCTGAGTGAGGCAAGCCAGGACTTTGGCCAACCTTGCAGCCATGGGAGGTTCCAAGCTCTGAGCCCCCATCGTTTCCCACTTGTCCTGGGGTGGAGGCTGGGGCCAGTGGGTGACATCACCCCCCTTCCAGCCTGTATCATGTGAGGTTGGCATGATCTGGGGCTCAGCACATAACTGTGCTCTGAACCACAGAGTCAGCAACTTGTCCCACTGCCTGGTCCCTGCTTCTTGGTTGAGAGAGATACTTGGAATGAAAGAAGAGGAAGGGCGGAGAGCATTCCAGGTCTGCAGCACCTTGGACTTTGGTGCTGGCGTGAACAGTCAAAAAAGAAAGACAGGTTTTTATAGAAGCAAGAATAGAATGGTGGTTGCCATTCTCTTAAAGGGAGGGGAAATTGGGGTGATAGAGGTCAAAGAGGACACACCTTCAGTTGTAAGAAGGGTAAGTTCTGAGGAACTAAGGTACAGCACGGTAACTAAAGTTAATAGCACGGTATTAGAGACTTGAAAGTTCCAGAGAGGACATCTTAAGCATTCTCACCACACACACACAAAAGGGTTAATTAACTATGTTCAATGTGAGTGATGGATGTGTTAATTATCTTTATCTTAATAATCATTCCACAATGTATATGTTTATCAAATCATCACATTATGCACTTTAAATATATACAGTTGTGTCCATTGTTCCTCAATACAGTTAAAAAAAGAAAAAAAAGAAAGGTGGCAGCCAGTGTCCCCCAGTGTAAGTCCCACCCTGTGAGTGGGGAATAAGAAGGAAGGACCTTCTCCATTTCTTCCCCTCCACTCCCCCTCCTCCTCTCAAGGAGGCCCCGAGGAGAACCTGGTCCTGGGTTTGGGAATGGCTCTTAGGGGTCTGTGTTATTCTGGGGAGAAAGAGACAAAGGTGTGTCAGGGTGCAGAGTCTGTGTGGATGCCCCTGTGTGAGTGGGTGCTGGGCACGTGAGAGGTGAGGTTCAGGCCCTGCCTTGGCCTGTAACAACCACCTCTGATGACCTGGCCTTGGGGCTTTGAAGTCCTCCTTCCTCCTGGAGGCTCCAGGCACAAGCAGTCCAGGTTTATTAGGTACAGGTTTATCTGGGGCTAATTTAACTTGTTAAGATAATTGTGCCACCAGGCCACAGCCCGAGGCCTCCGCCCCAGTAATTACCCTTCTCCTCACCTCTTTCATCTCCAAGGCTGCCCCCCTTTGCAGAGTCTTACTGGGCCCCTCACTTGCTGGGGTCCTTCCAAGGCCTTGGTGGTGGTGGTGGTGGGGTCCTGGCAATGCTCTCACACGGTCTCATGTTTTTGCAAAACCTTGCAGAAGTACGTTATTTCAACCACGGTCATTGAAGGCTGCTGTTTCTTTTCACCCTGACTTCCCCTCTGTCACATTTTCCCTCCTGTAAGGTGCTATTGAAATAACTATGGGCATTTTTGGGATCCAGCTTAGGGAAACTTGAGTTGGGAGTGCATTGAGTGAGGGCGAATATTTTTGTGGGAGGCAGTGTACGTATATAGCATTTCATAAATGTGGCTATTGGTCACTTCTGTGTATCATTACAGTTGCTGGGGGAGGGATGGTTTCCAGGAATCCTGCTTCCCATGGTGTTGACTCACCTGGTGTGATGCAGCGAGCATGTGTCCTATGGCTCTCAGGACAGGAAACTGTGGGAAGTGGTAGAGAAACAAGATTTGAAATGTACAGAGCCAGAAGCTAGTCTGTGGAAAGTTCTTTTAATCTTACGGCTCATGTATGAAACTGTTAAGGATTTACTCAACTGACAACAGTCCTAAAAATTCATGTGACATGAGTTGAGGAGCTGAAATAAACGTTTCTAAATTCTGAATAACTAAGTCCATAGTTCGACTGAGTATGTTAGGTTAATAGACCCTTCTATATTCTGTATGGAAAATGATATTATGAAATAATTGATTGCTCTATGATGAGTCAAAGAGAACATGCATCCTGAAATGTCAAGTATGATAAAGATGTGTCAGTGAGTTAATTTATTAGAATATTATTTTTGTTTGTGCATTTGTCAACTTAAAAAAATGATGTGACTTCTAGAAAAGAATGAGAAGCATTTAGAAAAATTTTTTTATTGAAAGCATTTTTTTTAATTGAAGTATAGTCAGTTACAATGTGTCAATATCTGGTGTACAGCAAAATGTCCCAGTCATACAGATATATACATATATTCGTTTTCATATTCTTTTTTGTTAAACGTTATTACAAGATGTTGAGTATAGTTCCCTGTGCTATACAGAAGAAATCTGTTTTTATTTAATTTTATATACAGTGGTTAACATTTGCAAATTTCAAGCTCCCAAATTTATCCCTTCCTACCCTCTTTCCCCAGTAACCATTACTATGTCTGCAAGTCTGTTTCTTTTGCAGATGAGTTCATTAGTGTCTTTTTTCTTTTTCTGTTTTTTAGGTAAGAATAAGAAGCATTTTAAAGAAATAAATATTCACTTTTTAACTTACTTTTGTATTTTGTTTTTGGTTTCTGAAAGATGGCCCTCTAAGTTATACAAGTTTCAGGCCCCACAAAACTTGGACCCATTTTGGTGCTGCTGACATTTGTTTGTGGGGATGGGGTGAGGGAGAGGAAGTTGCCTAGAGAATCCACCACCCCCAATCCCATCCAGGGTGCCCAGAGTCAGGAGACAGGGCTGGGGAGGGGCCTAGTGGTCTTGGCCTCTGTCCACATGTTCCCTGTGGCTCAGGAGGACCTGCTGGGACATTTGGGCTCCTTTGCAAGGCCTCTCAGGCTGTCAGAACTTCCTGAAGGTAGGAGCTGGGTAAGCTGGTATCCTAAAGGCCCTTAGATCTTACTGTGTGTGTCTGTGGGCAGTGCAGGGGGGCCACAGAGAGAGGAAGATGTTCTTAGATGTTCTTAGACCATTATTATCAAGCATTTCTATCTAATGGTTATTTCTTTTGGGGGGGGTAGGGAGGTAATTAGGTTTATTTATTTTGGTTTTTAGAGGAGGTACTGGGGATTGAACCCAGGACCTGGTGTATGCTAGGCATGAGCTCCACCACTTGAGCTCTACCCTCCCCACTTGAATGATTTTTCCTTTAATGTTCATCTCCCCTAGAAGACTGTAAGCTTCATGGGGAAGGAATCCCAGAACCCAGCACAGTAGCTGGGATAGAGTGGTGCTTAATAAACCTTTATCAAAAGAATGAGTTACATAACTAACTAACTAACTAACTAACTAACTAACTAACTAACTAAATGTGTGAGGGCAGAGGGAGGGAGACCAGCAGGGCTGCCAGGCCCCTCTCTCATCTCCAAGTCCTGAGCTCCAGGGGACCCCTTTGCAGACTTGTAGATGGTATGTGCATGTGTGTGTCTGTCTGTCCATGGATACATCCTTCTTAGGGATGTCTGTGCCACTGAGGAACTGGAAGGCTGCAGAGGGTGAGGGTGATGGGGTGAGGAGTGCTGGAGCTGATGACAGTGACAGAGGAAAGAAGAGGGGATTAGGTGATGAGGATGATGAGATAACTAGCAATTCTCATAAAATCCGAACCCAAACCCTGGAAACCAGAAAGGACTGTGTGGAAGAAGATGGCACCAGCCATCCAGGTGGAGTGAATGAGACAGGACATGCCTGACTCTTCGAGGTTCAGCGCTGGAAAGGGTCTAGCCGTCTAAACTGTTGGGTTGCTCTCCGCTGGGCGTCTTGGCCATCACCCCCCACACCATGCTAATGTGTGTGCATTGTGTTGTAGTGGGGTGTGAGGGAGGAGGAAGGGCTCTGAGGCCTTGCACCCACTTGGTTCAAGGACCCCTGCTTCTGCTGGTTTTCTACATTCGGGTCCCTCAATTAAGCGTCCTGACTGTAGAAAAGATTCGGAAATCACCTATTTAGAACAAGCCATTGCAACGCCAGTTTTTGTTAGTCTCTTTGTGTGGGTTTTTAATGTATTATACACAATTGTTTTTAGTATAATATTATTAGTTCATATTTTTAAAAAATCTAAAATCAGCATTATTTGTGTTGAAACCTTACCCAGAGAGTTCTGTGCTACATTTAAATTCCAAAGAGGACAAAGGGACACTCATTTAGGACGCATTTTCTTTTCTTTCTTTTTTTAAATTTTGTATTTCCATAATTCTCAAGAGGAGAAAGAAAATGCCAATCAACACAGCAAAGCTTCTGAAGTTCTAGTTCTGCTTCAGAGAACACAAGAGCATTGACATGGATACAGCTGATGGTGTGGGTCTCCATTTACACCTGATGAGAGTAAAGGAGGCTCTTATTAAAAAAGAAACCAAAAATGAATGCTTGCTATCAATAAAAAGATCTCCGTCTCTGCCCACTTCTGCCAGAAAAAAACTTGAAGATCAACGAATATTTCATTTTCATAGTTAATTGCATTTTCTTGTTATCTTTTTTATTTTTGCATTTTTTGAGTGGGGGAGGTAATTAGGTTTATTTATTTATTTATTTAAAATGGAGGTACTGAGGATTGAATCCAGCACCTAGTGCATGCTAAGTACACACTACCACTGAGCTATACCCTCCCCCCAATTTTCTTGTTATCTTTTGAATAGTAATTCATTTGAATAATTATTTATTTTAAAATGTTTGTCTCCTAATGATTTGTTTGATTTAATATTAAATTTAATGTTTATATTTCTAGAAATGAATGTTTTACTTAATGTTTTGTTTATTAATTTTTGA